TTTAATTCTCACTTTTTTTCAAGCCAGCACGAGCATGCCGGCATTTCTAAAGAAATCGAAACGCATACCTTTTTTAGGAGTTAAACAGTTACAAAATCCGGTTTTATTTTATGCTTCTGGTAATCAGCAGGAATGCGCCTATTTGTTCTGGAAAGTTGTGGGTTTTCTTTAAATTGACTTACAGGCACCGTTTACAAGTTTGCCATTTAGGTTGCCGCAACAGTTCTTCAAACAATAAACCGGCATATCCCACATACCTTCATAATTGACGTTCTGCTAAGCATGCGTAAAGAAAGTGACCACGTTGAAATTTTTATATCGCAACACGTCATGAAATGATACTAAATATATGTACAAATCTTACAGGCACAAACAAATGTTGCAGATGTTTGTATATTCAGCTTTCTTGCACTTTCGCGATGATGTCAATGGGAAATATGAGTATTAGCAACACCGGAAGCGATAGGGTGATATGAAGCGCTAGTGCTCGCTAGGATGCTACCCTTGAACGCTCTTACGTAAATCGACTTCAGCACATGGCGCCTTACTACAACTGACGTTAACCCAAAGTCACGACTGTATCATAGGAGTGAATATGGTATCATGATGTAATTGCATAGCAAGCACGGTTACCACAATTAACGTTTCACGAATATTAAAGTGGACTCGAAAAATATTTATTCATATGTGTGCTTTCACGTCCCAAAACCATACTTGAAAAACAGTTCTGAGACCTGGCGTGGCCTTGTCGTAGAATGCTTCATTGCCATGTATAATGCTAGAATTTGACTCCGGCTGAGACCTTGACATTTATTCTTTGCATTCGTCGGATCAGCGTTGCCGATGTCAAGTTTTTTTTAACGCTCACGTGTTAAAACTGCTCCTATGTGTTCTCGTTGTTGTTTGGTAAATTCCAAGTCTCGATAACCTGTGGCACAGACCCGCATACCAGTGGCGCATACCCAACCGCAGGTTTGTGCTGCTCTCTAGTAGAATGTGTTTGGATAGTCAAGAGTCCGACGGAATTCCGTCTGGTCGGGGACAAACATAGTGCAAAATAACAAAAACGCCGACCAAGGTGAAATACACAAAACTTAAAAAGACGTTTCGGCTCCCCACACGGGAGCCTTGTTCACAGTGACCGCAAATGGCGTAGTGCGCTCTTTTTATGGATGTTTCATCACGTGTTGCAGACATCGCGCGTACACAGGGGGGAGTGTTCCATTATTTCTGTTCAACCTATGCGCAGTACTGAACAGCCAGATATTCCATGTGCAATCGTGGTAAGAACTTTCTTTCCGTGGCAAATTATGCAGGCTTTATCCCAGTCGATAGCGTGCCCAGTAGACGCAACATGTTCTGCGAGGGCATTAGAAGCTACTTTCTTGTTTTTGACGTCATTAAAATGTTCCCGGAGCCTTCTTTTGTAATTTCCCGTTTTGCCAATGTATCCGTATTCACAGTCTTCGCAAGGAATCTTATACACCACGCCGGGAAAATCATGTCTGTCCAACTTATCTTTGACATTTGTAAGACGGCCTCGGAGCTTTCGTGCCGGAACGTGAGCCACTTGGACGTCGTAGTCGCGCAATACCCGAGCGAGGGTCTCGCTGAAGCCTGGGACGTAAGGAACCGATGCGCGTTTTCTTGTAGCAATGGTGTGTGACTGAGCCGCATGCTGCAGTTGTCGCTGCACCAAGTTTATGATGAAAGTGGGTATCCGCAAGTAGCCAGCTCCCGTCGAACGGACTCAACATCTTCTACTGCGTCTTCTTCCCTAGAACAAATCCTCCAAGCGCGCTTTACGAGTGTAGACACAACAGAACGTTTATGGCAGGATGGGTGCACAGAATTGAAGCTTAGAAAACGACCGGTATGTGTTTCTTTTGTGTACACGCTGAAAGTCAGGCGCCTACCGTCTCGTTTCACGAGGACGTCAAGGAACGAAAGGCAGCCGTTCCTTGACGTAACGTGATGAAGCATGCATAAGAAGAGCGCACTACGCCATTTGCGGTGAACAAGGCTCCCGTGTGGGGAGCCGAAACGTCTTTTTAAGTTTTGTGTATTTCAACTTGGTCGGCGTTTTTGTTATTTTGCACTATAGAATGTGCTTGACGGCAAACGCGCCGCGATTATAAAAAGCATTCACGTCTTGACTATCGCGTGCTATTTATGAAACTATCTTATCCTCCTATACTAATTTTCGTTCACGCGATCACGAGAGCACCCGGACGTAAACGGCTAGGCAGGCAGGCAGGTAGGCAGGCAGGCAGGCAGGCAGGCGGGCGGGCAGGCAGGCAGGCGGGCAGGGGGGCAGGCGGGCAGGGGGCAGGCGGGCAGGCGGGCAGGCGGGCAGGCGGGCAGGCAGGCAGGCAGGCAGATACTGATAGGCGCCAAAAGTGCTTGCAGTACGCAAAAAAATGCTTGTTAGTGCTACAGTATGTGTATTAGCACTATTTTTTAAATGTGGCCATTCTCATGGGCGTCTAAGTCACGTTATTCTTCGTTGGCTATACAGGCTTAATCTCAAATTCTGGACAAATACAAGATTTGAGAATGTCCACCGAAAATCCGGATGTAGAAGTGCCATCTGTGTGACAGTATTTCTGCGAATCAGTGTGCCAGTTTATTGAGTCGTGAAAGGACGAGAGGATGTACCAAATTGGACTGTGAGCATCGAACTTATTGGTACGAATGCCTCAGTACTGATGAATAGTTAGCTCAGAGTTGACGGTTCTTTATTGTATTTTGTGGTACTTTTCTATTTTGTCGAGTGCATGAAGTCTGTACAGTCTTCATATGCAAGGCAAGAAAGAAAAAAAAAACATCGTGTGCCCTTTGAAGCGGCACTACATACATATCATTCGCATGGCATGTCAGCGTCCTTCCTTTCAATTTCGAACCTCACAGGCATGAAAAAACTGAAAGCAACGTGCAAAACACGAGAGCAGCCAAACAACGAAGGGATGCACATTACTAAAGACGCTGTGGGGAACGCGGGTTTCGCGAACGCATGACGAATGCGCAATTTTCCGGCGTACCGAAACCATTTGTCACTTGATGACACCGCCCCACCTTCTGACGTTGTGCGAGTGGAAATGATTCATTACTCAGCCCTCCTTTTTTTACGGTTGGTGTTTGTTACATGCGGTGACTAGACTTACCTTGTGAGGCAAACTATGAATCCTAGAGATATAATTCATACCTTTTTTACCCATTTCATTATTTTTAAGTGGTCCACAATAAGCGAACGTTTAACTCACATAAAACAACTTGATTTTTCATTCAATAGATTGAGCTACCACTAAAGAACGCCTCTGAGATTTATGATTCTTTGGAAATATTTAGTTTGAAGCACGGAGTGGTCCTCTTAGTGAGCACCAATATATAGAAGACCCAATATGCATCTACTAATGTGGAATACTCGTTGGTAGTTAGCGTCTGAAAGAAAAAAAGCGTGTTCCTACGAGAGTGGTCAGCAGAAAAATGAGCTATATTCAATACTGTCTTGTAGGTTCCCTAGTAAGGATAAAAGAATTTTATCTTCATAGAATCACAGAAAGAAGCCTGCTGCTTCATTATATGGAAGTTCAGAGTACCAGCTTGTAGAGTTTTCTCGCTTCGTCAGTAATACATGACCAAGTAAAGCCACAAACTCCCCCATTGGCACAATAATAATGCATCTAATTTTCATCAAAACACTAAGCGACTTCATATGAAAAATAAATCTAATATAGTCTACATATCCACCAAATAATATGGTTCTTCTATGTAAATAAAAAACATATTCTGACACAAACCTTCACCATTTAGACCAATTTTATTGGAACGTAAAAATACTAATAGGTTTATGTCCAATATCTCTTGATAGAAACCTTGAATGGCACTTCGTTTAATTCCGCTTTGCTACGTTGAATAGTTTCGCCGTACTCGCAGTACAACGGAGGCTTGTACAGCGAAAGTGCTTTTTTTTCTCACACTATTTTCATTGCTACTAGGTAACGTTTCCGACCAGGCACTAAAATGAAATGTCATTTCAAATAGTAGATACTAATCTTTCTGAAGTAGCCCAATTCAGTTTTGTTTGTGAAGCGCAGCGAGCCCAGAGCCTCCGCAAACAATGCGTATAAGACGGAGGGGTTGCGGCCACAGTGGGACGACCATCTTAACGGCAAGACAAGAGTGCTGTGTGCAAACAGAGGAAGGAACTGTTAGTCCGCGCGGAGCAACGGTTACTCCCTCGGAACTTTTCGGAGCAGAGGTGCCCTCGTTGGAATGGTCAGCATGTGCGCAAGCAAATCGTTGCCTAAAGAAATGAGCAGTTCACATTTTAAAATAGTGGTAACGGACTGCTGATCCAACGGTGTCGAGTTGGAATGCTGCGTATTTGTCGTGAATTTTCTGTGGTTTATTTCGGAATTTACTTCTTGTGTATTGATTGTATATGGCATCAAATGAATTCTTCAACCTCCAAGTTCTCGGTAATTGGGCCAACATTTGTAGTCAATTATTATTTTTTGGAGAAGGAGCAACTGATGGAACCAACAGTTCGTCCCTACGCAGTCAGTTCCTCTCATACAGGAGTAACTTTTACTCCTTGACATTGTATCCCTGAAAACTACAGAGGACTAAACATTTCGTCCCCTTACAGTTACTCTCGAAAAGACGAATCATTCATCCTTTGGGGAGTAATGGCTGTGGCAATGCAGTTACCCCCCAAAAGGACGAACCACAGAACCCTTTTCATCCATTGCGGCTTAGTGTACGCACCACGCGCTTGCCATTTCGGAGGCCATAACAGGTCTCACAAAACCTCACAGATAGCAGCACATTACCTAGCGTTAGCTGGTTGCTTGAACAACGTCTCTGGAAAGGCATGATATGTTTTCTGCTAGAAGGAAATAGCTGTTTCTTTTTACAGCTGCTTGAAAGATCCTGTGTGCTTTTAGCGACGATGGCTGCACTATCCCGGCCTCTCTCGACGTAGCTTGATGGCCTCCCGAATTCGCCGACAAATCACCGAATGTGCTCGCTTCCGTCATGACACCTGTCGAACAAAATGCGTTAAGGAGACTCCTTCTACTACATGCATCTAAGTAGTGTTTTTTCCCGAACCAACTGCAAGAAACATCGTGGCTTTGTGGTAGGACGCCTGCTTCCCATGCGAACGAACAGGGTTCGATCCTCAATGGGACTTAAGACTTTATACTATACTTTATTTGATTCTTTCTCGATTTTTCGCTCACGGCCAATTTTTCTCTCACAACCAACCGTGCCGACGCCGACTGCGGAATTTTAGCGACCCGAGCTCTCTAACTCAATCGCGTTAAAATAGCACAAGTGCTACTTGCGTGAACTTGTTACAACGCTGCAACAGTGGGTCCTTGTCATGAACCCAGGGAAACTAGTTCAGGGAAATTATTTACCCAAGTAACTTTCCAGGGTCGTCGAATTTTCGCGCTCCGCATGGCAATGTCACCGTCCCCCATAGCAGCATCTATGTGCTTCTACGGGCCATGTTTGGAGGTTTCTTAGTAAAGGCAAATTATTTTATCTCCACATGAGTGACCCTTCCACTGTCCTGCATCAGGCTTCCCCAATGAACTTTCAAATAATAATAATAATAATAATAAAATTATTAATAATAATAATAATAATAATAATAATATAATAATAATATGACTTCATTATACACATACATAAGAAATACAAAGAAACGGGCCTGTCTATGTCCTCAGGACTTGTGCGACTAGGCCCGGCAGGCCGGTTACAGCGATGTCGATACAAGGTAACCAAGCTATTGTTGCTTCCTCACCAACGAACAGACAAACTATTGCCACCATTACTTTTTACAGGCAGTAAATAAAAAAGAGGAACAAAGGAGGGACACAGAGCATACGTGGCATACAAGTAGACAATGCGATTTTACAGCTCAGCGAGTTATTTCTTTCATTGCCTTTTTGAACTCGCTGAAAAAAATTCTCCAGGTAGTGCATTGAAATTTTTTGGAATGTATACACTTCTATATGCTTCTCCATATCTGGTAGAGAACCAGGATACTATAAAACGTTTTTTTTCTCTCAGGGGTCAATGCGTTACATATGGCACTTTAAAGTCATCGCACCAATTGTATCTTAGAACAACTGTCTTAATAAACAAATCCTGGAATACACAAAAGCCCAAATCCCGAGAAATAGTACTGGCATCTATCTTACTACGGTAAGCTACACTTTTTAAAATATTTCGAAGTAAACTATCAATGCGTGTTTTCCATCGTTCTGAGCAAAATGCGAAAACTGTTATCCCATACCTCACTACACTATATGCTAACAAATGAACTATCATTTTTTTCACTAGTAGAGGCCCCAAGCTTTTTATATTGAGAAGCAGACATGCCAAACTTCTCAGTTTAGAACAAATAAATGCCATGTGGTGTTGCCAAGACATACCACTATGAAAAATTACGCCTAGGTATCTGAATGTTTCGACATTTTTCACTGCAGAACATTTGCATGGATTGCAATGTTCGGTGTGAAGAAAAATTGCTTCATCAATTTTTTATGTTTTGAGATGGCTTCGAAATCAGATAAAATTTGTTTTCTTTTCGTTTACAATTACGGAGTTTTTTTCAAACCATATCATAGCATTATGAATTTCACTCTGAAGAGCAATAATCGCCCCTTCATAACATATGTGACGTGTTAATAGCACCGTATCATCTGCATACTGGTACACATTGGCTTTACAAATTTTCAAAGGGAAGTGACTCATAAATAAATAAATAGCAATGGTGACAACATCGATTCCTTGCGGCACACCAGCAGTAATATATTTTCTATTGATAATTACCTCCCTACATCCCATAAGGACATGTGACCTGGCTTGTAAGTAATTATAGAGCACATCATAAAAAGGCCCCCTAAAGCCCAAACGAAATAGCTTTTTCAACAAAATGGTATGGTTCACTGTTTGAAACGCTTTTGCCAAGTCTAAAATTAGAACACAACAGGACAGGTTCTTGTCTAAAGCCGAATATATTTCATCAATAAACTCTTCTATTAATGTTATAGTACTGCAATTAGCAATGAAAAAATTTGCCGGGGTGTTAGTAGCGAGAATTTTTGTAAGAAGGACGTCATACATTAAAGCAAAAATTTTTCTAGTATCTGGGAGAGTATAGGCAAGATAGAAATTGGTGTGTAATTTTCTAATCATCTTTTTTCCCTGCTTTAAACAATGGTTTTACTATTGCCGTTTTTAATTTCTCGGGAATCGATGCACTGGTTAAAAATTCATTTAACATGAGGAGAAGTATACCAGATAATGCTTCAAAGTTCCGTCGAAGCGTGGCCACAGCTACCCATCAAATTCTGGTTGCTTATTTGGACAAAAACTGAAAATTATTCTCCTGAGATCATCCTTCGAGAGCGTGTCCAAATAAGCAGATGCAGGAAAGGCTGTTTAAGCCTGCACACGTGTTTATACGCATGCGCATTCTTGGAAAAACGCGTGAAGTAGTGGTTGAACTTAACCACTATTCCTGGTTTCTCGGCAAACAATTCGAGTAGATCAGTGGGCGTGTTCTTTTTGCCTCGTAAATCATGTATTAAAGCCCATGTCTTTGCCGGATTTTTGTATGCTTGGCTGAATCGTTCTAAAAAATACCGCTGTTTCGCTGACCTTAAAAGAGCGACAACCCTGTTCTTTGGAATCTTGTATTCAATTTTTAATTCCTGATTTTTCGGTGCCCGTCGGCTACGTTTCCATAGCCACTCTCTATGAGAAATAGCGCTCATAATACCTACAGTTAACCACGAATAATTTTTGTATATTTTATAGCTTTTACATATGTACTTGAACGTTGAAATTGTAGTAGCTGCTCACAAAATTTTTTGTAGACTGTGGAATAGTTCGATCCCACAGTTAACTGCATCCAGTCAAATTGTGCTACAAACTGATAAAAAACTTCGCTATAAATATCTCTTTTTGCCGTTCATTACTATTATTATTTCCTTTTTGTATTCTCATCGCTTGGCAGCGGCAATGGTCCATATAGGCGACAGGCCACGAAATAATGGTCAGCTAATTTTTGCTTAATCACGCAAGCCCTTAATGAATAATTTGGTGCTCGCATTTCAATGTGGTCTATACAGGAAGACACAAGTCTGATCTGTATGCATTCTTCGCGTGTTGGGGGTTTTATGGTCGACTGTAAGCCGTAGTTTGCTAAAACTGAAAGGTAATCAGATACATTGACTGGTATAGTTCATTGTATTGATGTTTAGATCTCCTGCCACGCAAATTTGATCCACTGTGGCTTGGCCGTCTAGGACTTCATCTAGCTCGCTCAAGAATCGTGAGACATTATTTTTAGGAGGATGAAAATGGCTAGCAGAAGTAAGTCCGTGTTTGCTAGCATGCCTTTCACTGAAAGGCATTCAGCATGGCTGAAGGTGATGTTCACTGATGTGGTAAAATATATCGGGCTAATGAATAGCGCTATGCCACCACCTCGTTGGTTTGCCCTTGACATGAAATAGGCCTTGTAACCATTCAAGACAAACATATTTTTGCCATCCACTGATACATTTGATTCGACTAAAACAAACACGTCACACATTCTTTGAGCGATTCCGCTACCATTCTAAATTCATCCCAGTAGTTTCGAAGGCTTCTAATATTTACGCTACTCACTGTGAAGTCATGTTCCCGGTTGATGCCAAAAATATATTTAAACTCAGGGAAATTCGATGTGGTATAAGCGTTCATCGCCATGGAGTTTATAAGATTTTAACAATGTCCAACAAGTTTTTCACTCGGATCAGAGGCACATCTTCGCCACAGAAGAAAAGCGCACAAGTACCGTCGGGTTGGACTTATGTTTGCTTAGCAAGCGATGAACGGCCTTGATATCAGAGCTAACAAAGCCTGATAGCTCGAGTTTGCTGGCTATATCCGACAACACTGCTTTCAGGTTTTCGTTATGTACGACTGGTAGCCCGTCAGTTTTCATGTTGGCCTTTCTGCTACATTACTCACTTTCATTTAGATCCTGTTGAAGTTGCTGAAACATTTATGCTTGCGTTTTCAGTTCACTTTTAATGTCAGAAATTTGGGCCTTATGTGCAGCTTCCCTTCCTTTGCTGGCTGATAGCTGCCGCAAGACCAAATCGTATTGCTTTGACATGAAGGAAACTGTTTCTTCCAGATCCTTCACTGACATAGTTACTTTCGTAAATTCGGCTTTTAGGAGAAGCAGTGAGTCAACTTTACCGTGTAGGGTCGACAAAGAAGCAAGGTTATCTTTAATAGGAGCCAACTCTGATGCCTTCTCAGGTTCTGAATAATCTTCTGTTGTCATACTCGCTGCCTGCAAGAACGCCCCACCTCCATGTGGTTTAGCTGTACGACAAGTGCTGCATACGCATAAATCACGTTTACATTGACTCTTTGCTGCGAAAGTATTTTGTGCCACACCGGAACAAGACTGTCCCAAATGATAAAGGTTCTCACATTCCACACACTTCAATAAACGACCGTCATCTAGAAGTGACTTGTTGCACGCAATGCAACTTTGCATAGCGACTTTAAACAATATACACTGTGCAGTCGGCGGCTAACAAACGTTTGTTAGGCTTAAAAGGTAAACACAGTACCTGTAAAATAAGAATCGTCAGTGTTTGGTCGCTGAATCGCCACCGACTGCAGAGCGCCGTGCACTGTGGGCCGTTTAAGTAGGCGTTCCGTCTGCCAAGGTTTCCAGAGAACACTCGTGCTGCGGTATGCTTGGCTGTGACGTGTCGAAATCACTGATAGCTTCAGACAGGATCGTGTGGCCTGACCCAGCGCTAGAAAAGTCCCGTAGCACACGAAGCACGAGCCTGTAAAATAGGAATCGTCAGTGTCTGGTCGCTGAATCGCCGCCGACTGCGGTGGCGATTCAGCGACCAGACACTGAGGATTCATATTGAATAATAATAATAATAATAATAATAATATAATAATAATAATAATAATAATAATAATAATAATAATAATAATAATAATAATAATAATAATAATAATCAACCATTTATTTAACGTGCCCACGAACAACCGCAAGGTATTTGTGCAGGCGCACGCAAAAATAAAACAATAAAAATAAACAATACAATGCGGACAGTCTTCAGAAATATCAAGAGCAAAAACGCGTAGACATAGGGAAATGAACACAAAAGTGGAGGAGTAAATAAGACAGGACAAGAAATATTGAAGGGGAACGAAAAATTAGGATGCACATATACAACTATATATGCAAGACGTAGAGGGGAAGATTTTGTACATTGTACCATACTATGTTAAGACAGTGCGAAGTTCAGACAAAAACGATGACTGTGGACCATGAAAAACGTCAAGATCAAGAAAATTAACATTATAGGGACTTTGTATCCTGTGAACGGTAGAGTGTTCGAAGAAGCAGGCGGGTACATGAAACGGCCTATTCTCTCTTGTTAACTTACGTGGAATTCGAAAGTTAACACAAAGAGAGTACAGGGCAGGATACGATACCATAGACTAGCTTGTAAAGAAACAACAGGTCAGAATGATTTCGTCGGCAGTTAAGTGATGGCAATCATAATAATCCAGCAGTACTTGAACGAGATCCAGAGTGATTTCTAGCAAACCAATGGTTATATATGCTGAGAATTTTTTTCTGGACTCGTTCAAAGGTTTTACCATTGGATTGAGCAATGCCATTCCATATCACGGACGCATACTCAAGTTGTGGAAGACATATTGCGGTGTACAATTTGTGGAGGGCTATAGAAGAACTGAATTGTCGAGATATTCAGCAAACTCATCCGAGAGTACGAAGGTTCCACATAGCAGCACGCTTAACGTGAGCAGAAAAGTTTAAAGTGCTATCAACAACAACACCAAGATCACTGATCTAATAAACCTTGCATAACGACACAAATTGACAGAGTATTTAAATGACACGCTAGATGTTTTGCGAGTGATAGACATGAATTTTGTCTTTGAGGTATTCAGAGAAAGCGTATCGCAATTGCACCATACGGAAAAAGAACAAAAATCTGACTGCAGCAAGCGACAGTCGTTAACTGAACGAATTTCCTTAAATATCTTGATATCATCAGAATACAAGAGAAAAGAAGAATTGCGAATGGCAAAAGAAACATCATTACCGTAAATTAAAAATAGGAGTGGGCCTAATACCGACCCCTGAGGGACGCCACTAGTCACTTTATTCAAAGAAGAGGATTGGCCATTTACGGCAACATAACAAGATCTACTGAGCAGATAGCTGTGCAGGAGATTCAGAACTGACAAGTCAACATCAAACTGCGCAAGTTTAACCATAATCAGTGAGTGGCTGACTACGTCAAAAGCCTTGCTCAGGTCACAGCAGATTACGTCAACTTGTCCTCTCTGAGAAATAGGTATGAAGATCTGCGTCATGAAACTAGCAAGATTTGTAATAGTTGAGCGACCAGCCAGAAAACCATGTTGATTTGGAATCAATGAGTTTTTCCCACCAAAAGACACTATGTTGTGAAGAGCCAGCTCGAAAAATGTTTGATGTGGCACATAGTAGAGAAATCGGGCGATAGTTTGAAACACCTGTTTTAGAGCCTGAATTAAATACTGGGAAAATACCAGCAGTTTTTCACATGCTAGGAAATATGGAAGTGTCCTGGCAGTTATTAAATATAGTAGTCAGTACAGGGACAAATATACTACCATAAGTTTTTAGTATGGCGGATGGGATGCCCTCTGGGCCACATGATAAGGATTGTTTTAAGCGCTTAATGCATTCGCTGATAAGATTTTCATCCAGCGAACAAGCACTGGATGAGCTAACTGCCTTGGGCTGTTGTCCAATATCAGGGCTGGAGTCAGGCCTTATAAACGGATGAGAAGTGTGAGGCAAAACACTCAGCGACGACATGTCCTTCTACCCCATTTGAGTCCAGCAGTCTGACGGACTCTCCGCTTTTGCTAGACCGTTTACGCACATACTTCGAAAACTAAGCTGGCCTGTCAGAGGCGCTTTTTTCTAACAAGTCAATATAGGAACTATGATCGCGCTTTTATAGACGTTTAGAGAGAGTTCGAAAAAAGCTGAACTATTCCTTTCACTGGCTGGATGGAGAACATTTATATTTCCTGTGTGCGCGATCTTTATGCTTCAGTGCACTGGTAAGTTTAGATGAGAACAAGTGGAGATATTTAAGTTGTTTAGGTGTACATTGGGGAACAACATACGCATACTGCTCAGTACAAGCTCCGTAAACCGATCAAACTGATCATCAACATTCGGTTTGTCGGTAACCTGTGACCACTAAACAGTGGACAAGTAATGATACAGGCCGATGTAATCACCTCGCTTGAAAGCAAATGTGGGAGATTTGCTTATGTAACTGCTGTAGCTCATTGTTGCGGCTGATGCAGATACTCTTATGTTTAGTGGTGGGTGGAATTTGTCGGGACGTACAAGCGAGATGTCGGAGCGGGAAACATCAAGGGGTTGATCGTTGGACACACACAGGTCTAAAACGTTGCCACTGGAATTAACGACTGAGTTATGTTGCAGTAGGGAATCAAACGCTAGAAAGTCCAGGAGCAGGCTGCACCTTTTCTCTATAAAATGATTGTAATGAGAAAAGGTGAGCGTGTTCCAGTCAATTCCAGGTGCATTGAAATCCCCAAAAACAAGAATTCAGTGCCCACTAGGAGAAGATATCACAAGTTCAATAGAAGACATGACATCATAAAACGAGGCAGGGGAAATGCTGGGCGGTGAATAGAAACATCCAATCAACAGTTTTTCATGGCTCTGAAGGTTGATTTCAAGCCATATTGATTCTTCGATGGATTCTAGGTCTTTCCGTCTAACAGATTTTATTGAATTGTTAATGGCAATCAACATGCCAACGGCTTTCTGTTTGGTTTCACTGAAATCTCGGTCACTGCGGGAGGTGGTGTAGGTCGGGGAAAAAAGTAAGATGAGGGAATTTTATTGCCTAGCCAGGTCTCAGAAATAGCGATAATACGAAAAGAAGACGAAAGAACATTAGAGAAAAACTTGAGTGTCTTGGTACGCAGACCCCGAGCATTTTGGTAAAAGATGTCTACGTTACACAGCACTTTCGATTCCAGTCACAAACTCAGAGTGGTGAAGCATGTCATCGCACAGCTCCCCACGAAATGGCTTGAAGAGGCATCTGAGGGGCCACATCGAAGGGTCATTCAGGCGTTGTAGTGTAATAATAATAATAATAATAATAATAATAATATTAATAATAATAATAGTAATAATAATTATAATAATAATAATAATAATAATAATAATAATAATAATATAATAATAATAATAATAATAATAATAATAATAATAATAATAATAATAATAACAATAATAATAATATTAATAATAATAATAATAATAATGATAATAATAACAATAATAATTATTATTATTATTATTGGTTCTTGATTATCCGTAAAGCATAGGATGAGTGAGGCAGAGATTAAAAGCTGACAGTCAGATTGATACGCCAACATACTAATAGTTGTCACGACTTCGAAAGCTCCCTCTCATGGCACTGAGATCATTCATGTTTATTTTTGGAGGATCTTCATTCGGGGTTATTTCTTCCAATGTTGGGTGACCAGGGTTTCCCCTCGCCTATGCGTCAAGGAAGCGGGGGCATCAAGTTCATCTTTGAGCTTCTTTGCGTGTATAGTTGTTACCACCGCAGGTATCGGTGCGTCATCTCATAAATCGATGTGCTAACAGTGGTGTGAAACTGAAATGTACTTTATTCGAAGCTTTATTTATTTCGAATGCATTACGGAATATGGAATCATGTTGACCAGTGTTTCACGCAATATGATTCACTAGGTGTTAGTCACATGAGTTATGGGAGCACAAGTAAAGTTCAGGAGACCGTGCAGGTAGTGTAATTGCGGTCAGACAAATCAACAACTCTCCATCACTTCTTCTTGCTGGCGTGTCCTGTGCGTAAAACTAGTGTATTTAATATGTATGATTGCTTTTTTATGTGGCTAACATTAGGAATCAGTAACGCCTTTCATAAACCAAGATTGTGGCATGAAAACTATGCAATGCTGATATAAAGAATAAAAGCCGTGAAGGAATGGTGTCAGCGCGTTTCTTGGTATTGACTTCAGCTACAAAACTGCTATGGTATAGCCGATCTTTCAAATATATGATCAATCTATCGCTACTTTAGGTGTACCTAAAATAATTCCGAAGTCAGTAATCAAATATCACAAATACCACAAATACCTCGTACGACATGTGCTGATTGCGTACACCGTTATTGTTTAACCGAACTTATTGCGGCCTGGGATGACGCTTCATGGCGGATTGTTAAGCCTTCTCAGAAAAGCTGTCGTAATCACTTAAATATCCAATCACATGTGCTCAAAAGATTGTTATTATGAATGGGCCGTGAATATTAATCGCAATGGTTTTATTATTGTAGGCTTCACTAACAATTTATGAGAATATTGACGTACTTGGGGAGAGATTCATTGAGGTTCATCTTGCCGTGCGCGATTTTACCGCTTCCACATGACGTCTCTTAGCAAAGTGAAAATACGCGCACGCTTCCTACAGACATCATAACAATGTTTCTTTTTCAAGCACTTGTCAGTTAAAGTATGAATAATCGGGATGTTTGCGTCTTTTCTTCTGATTGATTTCTAGGATATATATATATATATATATATATATATATATATATATATATATATATATATATATATATATTACATGCTTTATAACCAGAACATAAACCGATATTGATCACCTCTATCAATTCTAAGCATAGTGTGAACTCTAAAAAAAGTC